TAACTGTATCTTAGTCTAAATACAGTGATTTCCTCATAAACATGGTCAAATCATTCTGTGGTAAAAACGAGAAAGTACATATAGTATACATGACACAGTACAGCACTAGACAGATTTTTTTATAACACTATTTAGGAAAAATGGAATGCATGTGTTTTTCAAATATAATTTTTCTAAGATCTAAATCTATTACAAAGGGATATATCTTTAAAGAAATAAAACTTTACAAATTTTTTAATATAAAGAACAGTGCACTCAAGAAAAAAAGAACCCAGTGATCATTCCATTCACTATCTTTCCACAGTTTTCATGAACTCCTCTTTTGAACTCAATAGCATCTGTTGGATAATATTATAATTCCCTATGGAGTAAGAAACCAGAAGTTATCTATAAATTTCCATGGACGGTTTTACAGTTCATTATAGAGTAGGGAAGTAGATAATACCTACACATTGTCAAGATAAAGTTAAGGGACTTCTGTGGTGGCACAGTGGTCAAGAGTCCACCTGCCAATGCAGGGGACATGGGTTCGAGCCCTGCTCCAGGAAGATCCCACATGCCGCAGAGCAACGAAGCCCATGCGCCACAACTACTGAGCCTGTGCTCTAGAGCCCACAAGCCACAACTACTGTGCCTGTGTCCCAAAACTACTGAAGCCCTTGTGCTCTAGGTCCTGTGTGCTGCAACTACTGAGCCCACATGCTGCAACTACTGAAGTCCACGAACCTAGAGCCCGTGCTCTGCAGCAATAGAGAAGCCACCACAATGAGAGAGCACGCGCACTGCAACCAAGAGTAGCCCCCGCTCGATGCAACTAGAGAAAGCCCACATGCAGCAACGAAGACCCAATGCAGCCCCCCCCAAGGAAAGATAAAGTTAATATCTATATAAGACCAGCTATATTAATAAATAAAGATGGTAGCTACTTAAGTGATATATCACAGAGACTCTGTGAAAATGTTTCCTCAGCAATGCCTAAAATTCCACCATTAAAGATTACTTATTCTGTCTTAAACTATACTTAAACTATAATTACTAATGGGTAAGGTAACACTTTAAGCACTGGAAATAATATAATAGCATAAATAAATTAATTAGTTCTTTTACTGACAGCATACTTTGGTAGGAGATGGATGAAAAAAAATCAAGACATAGAATAGAGAACAAGAATAAAGAAGATGAACTTCACCTACTATCAATTTTGAGACAGCCCAATCTGCATATTTAGATTAGATATTTGACACATAAGAGAGGTACTTCTATTGGGATATGTGTAAGAGAGATAAAATGTAAAGAATATACTAACATTCAGAAGTACAATAGAGTGTAATCAAATGAGATGGCATACAAAATATTTAACAAAGTGCTTGAGACTAAAAATTGGTGATGATGGTAATGATGATGGTACAGTTTCTGCTGTTATAATTATTACAAGATTAACTTGAATGTTGAATGAAATTGCAAGAAAACAAAATGTTTGGCTTACTTTTCATTTCTTGACAGTTTTGTAAGTTTATCTTAATGTGTTAAAATCTTTAAAGTGAAACCACTCCTATTCAACACAGGTTTGGAAGTCTTAGCCACGGCAATCAGAGAAGAAAAAGAAATAAAAGAAATACAGATTGGAAAAGAAGAAGTAAAACTGTCACTGTTTGCAGATGACATGATACTATACGGAGAAAATTCTAAAGATGCCACCAGAAAATTACTAGAACTAATCAATGAATTTGGTAAGGTTGCAGGACACAAAATTAAAGCACAGAAATCTCTTGCATTCCTACGCACACTAACAATGAAAAATCAGAAAGAGAAATTAAGGAAACAATCCCATTTACCATCACAACAAAAAGATTAAAATACCTCAGAATAAACCTACCTAAGGAGGCAAAAGACCTGTACTCAGAAAATGACACAACAATGATGAAAGAAATCAAAGATAACATAAACAGATGAAAAAATATACCATGTTCTTGGATTGGAAGAATCAATATTGTGAAAATGATTGTACTACCCAAAGCAATCTACAGATTCAATGCAATCCTTATCAAATTACCAACGGCATTCCTCACAGAATTAGAACAAAAAATTTTACAATTTGTATGGAAACACAAAAGACCCTGATAGCCAAAGCAATCTTGAGAAAGAAAAATGGAGCCAGAGGAATCAGGCTCCCAGACTTCAGACTATACTACAAAGCTACAGTAATCAAGACAGTATGGTACTGGCACAAAAACAGAAATATAGATCAATGGAACAGGATAGAAAGCCCAGAGATAAACCCATGCACATATGGTCACCTAATTTATGACAAAGGAGGTAAGAACACACAATTGACAAAAGACAGCCTCTTCTATAAGTTGTGCTGAGAAAACTGGGCAGCTACATGTAAAAGAATGAAATTAGAACACTACTTAAGACCATACACAAAAACAAACTCCAAATGGATTAAAGAACTAAATGTGAGACCGGACACTATAAAACTCTTAGAGGAAAATGTAGGAAAAACACACTTTGACATGAACCACAGCAAGATCTTTTTTGACCCACCTCCTACAGTAATGAAAATAAAAACAAAAATAAACAAATGACCTAATGAAACTTAAAAGCTTTTGCACAGCAAAGGAAACCATAAACAAGATGAAAAGACAACCCTCAGAATGGGAGAAAATATTTGCAACCAAAGCAACAGACAATGGATTAATCTCCAAAATATACAAACAGCTCATGGAGGTCAATATCAAAAAAACAAACAACTCAATCAAAAAATGGGCAGAAAACCTAAATAAGTATTTCACCAAAGAAGACATACAGATGGCCAAGAGGCACATGAAAAGATGCTCAACATCACTGATTATTAGAGAAATGCAAATCAAAACTACAATGAGGGGGCTTCCCTGGTGGCGCAGTGGTTGAGAGTCCACCTGCCGGTGCAGGGTATATGGGTGCGTGCCCCAGTCCAGGAGGATCCCACATGCCGTGGAGCGGCTGGGCCCATGGGCCGTGACCGCTGGGCCTGCGCGCCTGGAGCCTGTGCTCCGCAACGGGAGAGGCCACAGCAGTGAGAGGCCCACGTACCATAAAAAAAAAAAAACAAAACTACAATGAGGTATCACTTCACACCAGTCAGAATGGCCATCATCAAAAAATCTAGAAACAATAAATGCTGGAGAGGGTGTGGAGAAAAGGGAACCCTCTTGCACTGTTGGTGGGAATGTAAATTGATACAGCCTCTATGAAGAACAGTATAGAGGTTCTTTAAAAAACTAAAACTAGAACTACCATATGACCCAGTAATCCCATTACTGGGCCTATACCCTGAAAAAACCATAATTCAAAAGGACACATGCACCCCAACGTTCATTGCAGCACTATTTACAATAGCCAGGACATGGAAACAACCTAAATGTCCAACGACAGATGAGTGGATAAAGAAGATGTGGTATGTGCATACAATGGAATATTACTCAGCCATAAAAAGGAACGAAATTAGGTCATCTGTAGAGATGTGGATGGACCTAGAATCTGTCATACAGAGTGAAGTAAGCCAGAAAGAAAAACAACTATTGTATATTAACACATATATGTGGAATCTAGAAAAATGGTACAGATGAACCTATTTGCAGGGCAGTAATAGAGATGTAGACATAGAGAATGAATATGTGGACACGGGGGGAATGGAGAGGGTGGGACAAATTAGGAAATTAGGATTGACATACATACACTACCATGGGTCAAACAGCTAGTGGGAACATGCTATAAAGCACAAGAAGCTCTGCTCAGTGCTCTGTGATGACCTGGATGGGTGGGATTGGGGGTGGGGGGTGGGAGGGAGGTCCAAGAGGGAGAGGATACAGGTATACATATAGCTGATTCACTTCATTGTAAGGCACAAACTAACACAACATTGTAAAGCAATTATACTCCAATAAAAAATAAAATAAGTTTATCACATTTTGGCCATATGTCATGAAAACATAAAGCATGTTCTTCTAAGTAGTGTGAGGTAGAAGACAGACAGCAGAAATATCTATGTAGTAAGGAAAAGGATCTTGGATTTACATTCAAAGGAGCTGGGCTCAATTCTTTATCACTTTTAACTATGGGATTCTGAGCAAGTATTTTAATGTCACTGAGCCTCGTTCTCCTCACCCATATAATAGTGTCATTGTCCTATTCTATCTTCAAGAAATATTGCAAAGCTCAAAGAATAAAATGCTTTAAAAGGATATGAACATTCTGGTGAGATTTGTAATCCTTTAGTATTATAATCAGGATTTTAATTATACACACCAAAGTTTTAGAAAAGCTGTTATTAAAGACAGTTTTCTTCCTCACAGAGTAGAGAGCAGAGTATAGCACAGAATGTCTTACCCTAATAAATATCTTTGAATTGTAATAAAAAACAGCACAAGTGAAAAGCAGGTGGCTAATTAGTTATACTAACAGCCAGGATAACCCGAGGATGCTTTTTCTGAACTACAGTTTTCTCATTTGTTAAATAATGGAGTATTAGATAATGTCAAAATTTCCTCCCACCTCTGAAATTATTATATTATCTGGAAGAATTTACTTCACTTGATTTTTTTTTAACATGAAAATATAAGAAACCAGTTTCTGAGCTAACATCTGAAGCAGGCATTTTAAAAACCTCTAAAACATGAGGGTGAATAGTGCTATCATTAGTGTTTTACATTGTTCATGTATTTCCTGTGACATTTTAATTTTAGCACCTTGTCATGGGGATAAAGGTCTCTCCCACTGGTATATTAAATGGTTTAGAAGTGTTACATTTCGAGTTATTTTTTAATCTAAATACTCCTTCACATTCTCAGGTATTACTGGATAGGCTGTTAAAGTGGCAAATTTTAAACTCTGTTGAATGAGATGGATTGTGGATAACAAGAACAACAACTACCTTTGTAGTCTAACAGGTGAGAAATATGCATATAATTAGATTATACTCCTCTAAACCATACCTCATAAAACAAGAATCAAATTACCTGTCTTCCCTTAAGACCCTTCTTTCCACGGATCCCAGGAGCACCCTAGAATACGAAAAAGTCAAAAGTAAATATTTGTTCCCTTCTTCGATTGGGTTGCTTGGTTTTTTGATATTGAGTTGTATAAGCTATTTATATATTTTGGATATTAACTCCCTGTGAGTCATATTATTTGCAAATATTTTCTCCCATTCAGTAGGTTGTTTTTTTGTTTTGTTGATGGTTTCCTTTGCTGAGCAAAAGTTTTTAAGTTTAATTAGGTCCCATTCATTTATTTTGGCTTTTATTTCTTTTGCCTTAGGAGACAGATCTAAAAAAACATTTTATTTTTGGATCTGTGATTTATGGCAGAGTGTTCTGCTTATGTTCTCTTCTAAGAGTTTCATAGTTTCAGATCTTACTTTTAGGTCTTTAATCCCTTTTGAGTTTACTTTTGTATATGGTGTGAGGAAATGTTCTAATGTTCTTTCACATGTAGCTGTCCAGTTTTCCCAGCATCCAAAGAAGACATACAGTGGGCTACCAGGCACATGAAAAGACTCCTTACACTGCTAATTATTAGAGAAATGCAAATCAAAACCACATGAGATATCACCTCAAACTTGTCAGAATGGCTGTCATCAAAAAGAACACAAATAACAAATGTTGGCGAGGATGTGGAGAAAATGGAACCCTCCTACACTGTTGGTGGGAATGTAAATTGGTGCAGCCACTATGGAAAACAGGATTGGTGTTCCTCAAAAAACTCAAAATAGAACTACCACATGATTCAGCAACTTCACACCTGGGTAAATATCTGGGAAAAATGAAAACACTAATTTGAAAAGACTCAGGCACCCTGATGTTCATAGCAGCACTATTTACAATAGCCAAGATATGGAAAGCAACCCTAGGGTCCATCAACAGATGAATGGATAAATATATCCATACATGTATATATATATATATATATATATATATATATATATATATATATACACACACACATATGGATATATGTGCTTGTGTATACACACACACACGCATATACACATACACACAATGGAGTATTACATGCCCACAAAAAATGAAATTCTGACATTTGCAGCAATGTGGATGGATCTAGAGAATATTATGCTTAGTGAAGTAAGTCAGAGAAAGATAAATACTGTGTGATAATTCCACTTATATGTGGAATCTAAAAAATGAAACACACAAATATATATGGCAAAACAGAAACAGACTCACAGATACAGAAAACAAACTAGTGGTTATCAGTGGGGAGAGGGAAGGATTGAGGGGCAAGATAGGGGTATGGGATTAAGAGATACAATTTACTATGTTTAAAATAGATAAGCAACAGGGATATATATTCAACAGCACAGGGAATTATAGTCATTATTTTTTAATAACCTTTAATGGAATATAATCTATTAAAATACTGAATCAAGATGCTGTGTACCTAAAATTAATATAATATTGTAAATCAACTATACTTCAAAAAGGTAAATATTTGTTGAATCAATTAATGAGTTATTTTTTCTCAACCGTCAATTTATGAAGTATGCCAAAGGGAAAAATAAGTTATCCTTTAAACTGGTGTGATATTCAGAAAAGCTTCAATGTATTATTTTAACTCAAGTGGCCCCTTTCCTTCTTCATAACAAAAATTCTGATTTTATTCAGAAATCCATCCCATCTGTATTTCCAAATGGGATCCTGCCATTCCTCTGGTGATAGTTATTTGTCCAGAGGTGGCATGCAACCAAAGTTGGTACAACCAGACAAACAGGAAGTCTTATTTTCTGTACCCAACAGACAATTACCTCCTCTCTGTCTCCCTGTCTCTGGCTGGACATAAACAAAGACATATTTAGCCCTTGCACTGGGAATCTTGCAATCATATGAGAAACCAGCCTTAGGATAAAGCCAGCATTAGTCAAGGCAAAGCAGAGAGAAGGATAATGATATCACTGTGCTCAGGACCATATTGTGCCTAGATCCCACCTAACCTATGGGTTTCTGGTCATAAGAAGCAGCTGTAGGGCATAGTACTTAAGTACTCAGTCTTTGGAGCCAGAATATCTATGTTCAAATCCTGGCTCTGCTCTTATTACCTATATACAGTCTTCGGTAAGTGTGTCTCTCTGTATGCCTCATTTTCTTCATCTATAGTGAGAAAAATAATACTACCTATCTCACTGGGTGTTGTGAGATTAAAGGAGCTAATTCGTATGTAGTATTTGCATAGAGCCTTGTATATAGATGTAACCATTCAATAAGTCATTTGCTGTTATCATTATCATCATTTATTTTAAACTTCCTCATTTTGAAGCCAGTTTGAAATGGGATCTTCTGTCACTTGCAGTCCAAAGTGTACTAACTGATAAAATCCTTTGAGACTTATAATCACTTTTATAAGCCTCAGGGACTAAGAAATATGTCAGAACCATGTAGCTTGGGGTTTTTGTATATACAGACAAGTTAGCAGATATCAATGGTTAAAGTAATCCATTTACTTTAATTCAACAGTGTTTAATAAATATTCATCTAATATTCTCTATTGAAAAAAGAGTTCAAAGATGCGCAATATGACTCATTTCATGAGGATTTCGTGCATCTTTACATAATATAGCCAAGCATTTAAGAAAAATAATTATTTTCTAAAACTTTAGTAGCTTCAGTAAATCTCAGCAGAAAACCTAAGGATAGTGCGGATAGAATTACATAAGAACTTTTTCATATATACATGCATGTGTATATTATTGACTTCCAGAAAGAACTTTTTCTTCCCATTTGTTTTCAGGAGTGATTAGAACATTATTTTCTTTGGCTTTTCTCTACTTAAATATTTCATAACATAATAAGACCACCCGGTTAGCTATACTATTCACGGTTTTAGTGAGAATTTTGAAGTAGCCTAATAATATTAGGACATGGTACCTATAATAGGCAGAATATCACAAAAGGGTCTTATATTTATGGTTTGAGACAATCTTGATATATTCATATAAACTAGTCGAAATTACTGAGTATGATTATAGGCATTGTGCCTATTGATAGTCAGTGTCACAGGGATCCTTGAATTCAAGATGATGACATTTTGCAAGGACATATAACTTTCGTTTATTTATTACATCAATTACTAGAAATAACTTCATTCCAACAGGTCAGGGAAGGATTGTATCATAAGCAGCACAGTAATTAACAATGTAAACTATATATACTCCTTTGGGTCTATAAGAAGCAGTTCAATTCTTTGCATGATAGATTGGAAACATCATCTGTAAGTCTGCTGTATTACATAGTAGTTAAGGGGCTTAGTTGTAGGATCACACTGAAGATATTGTTTGCAAGTGAAAGAAATGACCTGTGCGCTCACCACAGGAATATCTTCACCTCTTCTCACCAAAGACAACTAAACATTTTGATTGTCATTACAGCACATGTAAACTCTGAATGTTTCTTCTCTGTGGAGGCATTCACAAGTAACTACAAGAAAATGTGATTTAATTCACTCACTCAAAAAACTATACATCTGAAATATTCATCTAGCAAAGAATGATCCGATTTATTTTCATTTGCAAAAATCAGTTTCCAGATATGAAAAAAAATTTGTCCGAACAGCACTTGTATAATAATAGAGTTAAATGCTAAATTCGGAATATGATTGTTTTCAAACCTGAGAATATGCTAATATTGTTTGATTCTACTTTTTTAAAAATTAGTATTGACAGTGTAGATGAAGAAATGCAGCTAGAAATCACTGAACTGCATATGGCACTGAAAACTAGATATGACGAAGATGGAATGCCAGAACTCTGTATGTATCCTTGTTAATTTTTATAAGTATAACAAAATATTTGGCAAAGATTCTACTTTATTCACAAGTACCTACATTTATGAACAGCTATCTTCCACTATTAAACAAAAAAATATATCTTTTTTTTTTTTTTTTTTTCGGTACGCGGGCTTCTCACTGCTGTGGCCTCTCCCGTTGCGGAGCACAGGCTCCGGACGCGCAGGCTCAGCGGCCATGGCTCACGGGCCCAGCCGCTCCGCGGCATGTAGGGATCTTCCCAGACTGGGGCACGAACCCGTGTCCCCTGCATCGGCAGGAGGACTCTCAACCAGTGCGCCACCAGGGAAGCCCCAAAAAATATATCTTTTGAAGTTGATCTATTACACATTGCATTGTAAAATACAAACCCTGCCAAGAGTTTCTACTCAAATTAAAGATCAATTACAAAATAAAATTTTCATAATTAGATAATATCAATTTGTGTTTTTTAAAAGTTCAATTTAAAGTTGCTAACCATAAATATTTATATCACCTCACTTACCTAAAACACAATTCAGTAAAATTTAAGAGAGTTTAATTATAATTCTGGTAGGTGACTTTTCTTAAAGCTGGCTTGTTTCACTGCCCGACATCTGGGTTTATAAGCCCTGTTATACTTTATCCTAAGTATATCACGTTAGAAATAATATTTGAAGGAAATAGACTTACTCTTTCTCCTTCAGGTCCCAGTTGTCCTACTTCTCCAGGAAAGCCAATGAAACCCTTAAAGTAAGCAAATAATCTTTGTATTATCTCACTTAAATATTCACCCTGTAAATAATTCTAAATAGAGATACTTAAAATTTATTCCTAGTAATATGAAATTATAAGGCATAACAGTTTGGATAATCTTGTGTCTTTTCTTCTAGAAATTACAGTTCAATCTTTTCATTAAAAAAAAAGTAGGAAATGTAACTTAAGGCATAGTGGCTAATAAAAATCAACAAGCCCAAATTCTTTTCTACATTGAATATTACAAAGGGCAGAAGACACAGATACACAATTAACTAAGTTGTAAGGCAGAATGGAGGTATCCAAGAAAAAGAAGTATGGAGGAGGAAGAGATTCATTCCAATGTGGCAGGAGGTAAAAGCAGTCAGAGGAGGTTTCAAAGGAGACTGGCACTTGAGATAGGGCTGTGGAGTAGATAGAGTCTTGATAAGCAGAGGATGGAGAAAGAACGCTCCAACCAGCACTACAGTAAGCAGAGACAAGATAGAGAGGACTCAGGGAGCATTTGTAAATGGTTAACTGACAGTTTCTTACATGTAAGATGCTTTGGAGAGAAGCAGACCCATTGTGCCCTCAGGGAGATTCCAATAGGTCTGAGAAACAAGGAGTAAAATAACAATTGAAGCTACTTTATACTACCATACTTTAGTTAGATCTCACCTGTGGCAAATAATAACCTGTTTCATCAATTTAATAAAGTGTATAGTAGTTTAGAGAATGGATTAAGGAGAGCCTTAAATTTCAGACTAAGAATTTTAGACTTTATAGTTTAGATAAGAAGCTACTGGACTTTGGGGGAGTGTGGTAGTGCCCTGATGTTAAGTTGTTTTTCTAAAATATTAATCTGTGGACAGGATACAGAATACACCCAAGACAGGAAACACTGAATGTAGGAAAATGTGTTAGAATGCTGTTTCAATGGTCCAAATTTGAAGGAATATGAGTCTGGGTCACTCATTCACAAAACATCATTTTAGTGCTCACTGTGTGCCAAGAATTGGAATTATAAAAATGAATATGAAAATCAGTGCCCTCAAGGAGTTCATAGTTTATTAGGAAAAAGAGTCATACATTTGTAATATCATAAGATAATTGTGACATGATTATGTGATGTGATAAATACAAGATACAGAAGCTTTGAAGGCAGAATGACCAACTTTGCCTAGAGGGAAGATTTAGGAAAGTTTTACAGAGGAGGCAACATTTAAGCTGAGTCTTGAAGGAAAGGAAAGGCATTTTATGCAGGGCTAACAATGTGTCATCAATCAATCAATCAATCAAAATAAAATGACATGGCATTTTCACAGAATTGCAAATAGTTCTGTGTGATTGGTAGGCAAGAGTGGGGGTTGGAAAGGCAACAGTGGCTACATCATGAAAAGTCTTTTATGTGATGATGGCAAGTTTGTGATTTATACTGAGCATTCAAAAAAATTTAGACAGAGTTTTGATATAATCAAATTTGCAGTTTATAGAATTCATTTGGATTACAGTGGTTCCACTGGTCTTTGTATCTATCTCTAGGACTGAGGCAAAGATGATTCTAAGGTTTATACTGGACTGATAAGCAAATGGTAACCACTGATAGAAATATGGAAAGCAAATAGGAAAGCTAATAGTTTAGTAGAAAGAGGATGAGTTCTGTTAGTCATTTTGAGACTGTGGTGATGAGGCATTTAAATTTAATTATCTTGGCAAGGAAGTGGAGATGTGGGACTCATAGAAAGAGCTCATAGAGTGATGTAAGATTTGAAGGGCAGATGGGTCAGAAGACTTAAGGGTAGAATAGAGCCCTTAGGAGGAAACAAAGAGAAATTTCCCTGAACCACTGAGAGGCTGAACTGGATGGAGATGGGAGAAGAAAAATGGTTTTACGAACACAGAGGAAACCCAAGGTATAAAAGAACTTGAAGAAGAGATACAGGAGGCCATTTTGACTAAATTCAAAATAAAGTCTACTTATTTTGACTTAGAGAATGGGTGCCTTTTCAGAGTAAATTTTTCCATAATAGTATACATTAAGAAAGAACTCAGGTTTTGAAAAAGTAAATGTCATTTGTACACCTAGAACAGCATTATTCACAATAGCCAAAAGGTGGAAGCAACCCAAATGTTCAACAGATGAAAAGACAAACAAATGTGGCATATACATACAATGGAATATTATTCAGCCTGAAAAAGTAAGGATATCTTGACGCATTCCACAAGGTGGATGAATCTCAAAGACAATCACGCTAAGTGAAATAAGCCAGTCATAAAAGGATAGATATTATATGATTCCACTTAAATGAAGTACATAGAGTAGTCAAACTCATAGAGACAGAAAGTTGAATGGTTGCCAGGAGCCGGGGGGAAGGGAGAATGGGGAGTTACTGTTCAATAGATACAAAGTTTCAGTTTGGAAAGATGAAAAAGTTCTGGAGATGGACGGTGGTGATGGCCGCACTGCAATGTGAATGTACTTATTGCCTCCCGCTATGGACTGAATGTTTATGCCCCCTCAAAATTCATACATTGAAGCCTAATCCCCAAAACGATGGTATTTGGAGGTGGGACCTTTGGGAGGGAATTAGATCATGAGAGTAGAGCCCTCATGAATGGGATTACTGCCCTTCTAAAAAGAGATATGAAAGAAATATGATTGCTCTCTCTGCCACATAAGGATACAGCAAGAAGGCAGCGGTCTACAAGCCATGAGGTGGGCCCTCATGAAACACTGGATCTGCCTTCCCAGACTGAAGAACCGTGACATATAAATGTTTGTTGTTTAAGTCACCCAGTCTATGGTAATTTTTATTATAGCAGCCTGGACTATGACACCAGTGAACTTACATTTAAAAATAATTAAAATGGTGAATTTTATATTAAATATGTATTACCACAATATTTTTTTTAAAAGTAAGTGTCTCAGGAATCATTTCCAAGTTTCCTGGAATAAGAACCATGGGAAGCATTTAGTTCCTGAGGGTGAAAGCTAGTTGGGTGTTGCCACAGTAAGACAAGCACTTTTCTTTGACAAGGAAAAACACCTTTAAAATTCCTATGTTCTACAGAGTGTATGAATGAATAAGCAAAAAATAAAATAAAAGAGAAAAATAGTTTCCTTCTAATTAACTTTAATGATAAAACATCTATAATTTGTTTGCTTGAAAGCCAAGCATCTGAAGGATGGAGAAGGTTTCTTTTAAAATGAAGCATCCAAAAGTATTTCTGATACCAAAACGTTTACGATTATGATGACAAGCTACATGTACTTTCAGAAATATCAACTACAGGTGGCCTCAAGTTTAAAAACAGTTAACTTTTGTTTTAATATACACAACTGGAGTTTTGCTTATAAATAAAAAGAACAAACACCCTAACTGATGTACACTTCTCAGTAAACTAAATACTCAACTGAAGACTCAGGAGCTAAACCTCTACTCAACGAAGTCTGCACAGAGTACCAGCACAACATTTTACAAGTAAAGATACAGGCTCCGGACGCGCAGGCTCAGCGGCCATGGCTCACGGGCCCAGCTGCTCTGCAGCATGTGGGATCTTCCCGGACCGGGGCACGAACCCGTGTCCCCTGCATTGGCAGGCGGACTCTCAACCACCGTGCCACCAGGGAAGCCCACAAGTAAAGATTTTAAAGGGAACAATGCTATGAGTAATTACGTAGGTGTTTCATAAAGGTTTTTTGATAATTATTATGCTGATTCTAACAGAAATAAAATGTCAGCTGCATCCACCAAAGAAATCATATGGGGTTGTGGTCATTCTCAAAACACTACCACTAAATTGGAGTTTAGTATGTAATGAAACAAGGAACATAAAAAATAATAAGGGACTTCCCTGGCAGTCCAGCAGTTAAGACTCCACGCTTCCAATGCAGTGGACTCGGGTTTGATCCCTGGTCAGGGAAGTAAGATCCCACATGCCATACAGCCAAAAAATTTAAAAAAAAAATTAAACAAAAAGCACATATGTGTTTGCTTTTTTGGACTGAAGGTTGTATATCCAGGTAGAGGCAATTTTGTGTCACCAGCAGGGCCACTAAAAGGTCGGGGGAGGCCTACATACTTCTACTTTTTGAGCCACCTAGCACGTTATTACACAAAGAAACACCAAAGGAGGGTTACAAAATGATTTATTTTAAACATTTACATTTTTAAAATAATTATCTTAACACCAAAAAATGCAGTCAAACAATGGAGCCAGTCAAAAGGTAATTTATCATGATTTATAAAAATATTAATTCATATTGTATAGCATGTGGTATAGACCAGTAACAGGACCCAAATTAAATGAAAAACATAATCCTGTCAGTGTGATTTTATGATTTTTGTCTTTTTAACCATATTTGGAGTTAATGTCTAAAGTCTACATTTGAGACTCTTCGTGAATATGAAACCTAGAGAAGTGAATCTTCTGACTCTTCCCTCACTCCCAAAGGAAAATTAAAGGATTAAATCAATTAAATTAGTCAGAAAAGGATTAGATTTGTTTTTTTTAATGCTTTTATGAAGTCAGCCATCAAAACCTAAAAAAAGCTTAAAAAGGGTTACAACCTACACTATAATTGTCAGTACAAATGGGGAAAAAAGCAACAAAAGGATGTATAATATAGTACAAAAATGATATAAAGAAGAATTAGAAAAGTTATAGGAATCACTGAAGCAAGATGAGAAAATGTAGTAAGAGAAAACTGCACAGTGCCAAGTAACAGGTCTAGGAGTTTAGCTCACATGCAGAAGAAACTCCCAAATTCTAATAATAATGATAAAATCTGCATAGAAAGTGCATGCCATGTGCTAGGCACTGTGCCTTAAGAATATTAATTAAGCTCAGGTAGTTGTCATAACCACCTAAAGGTAGGTTTCATTATCACCTTTTAATAAGGTAAGAAAAATGAGGCACAGAAGGGTTGAACGACATCTAAGGTCACAAAGCTAGTAAACAAGGGGTTAAGAAAAAAAAAAAAGCGGTCCTTGTCGAGCTCCAAAGCCCATGTTCTTTGTCCACTAATCTCTTCTTGCTTTCCAAATCCAAGTCAATATGTGCTTTCGGTGCAGTTTCTAATAAAGAATACATGACTTTTCCCCATTATGTTTTCACTTAATGCAAGGGTGGAGACAGCATGGGATACTAAAACAGTACAGAGCTGAAGGTGAGGAAACGCTGGTGTGAGTTCTGCTATGACTTTGTCAAATCATGTCGGTTCCATAGCTTACTGTTTTCTCATCTGTAAGATGGAGACAATACATGTGTTCTGCTACTTCATAGGATTGATAGCAAAAGAAATATGAAGTATTTGAAAGTGTTTAAGAATTTTTTAAAATTAAGGCATCATTATAGTACATACTGTCTAAATACTTTTTGTTTTCCTTATTTCAAAAAGGTATTTAAGATAATATAAGGCAGATGTAGATTCCAGAAAATAACTGGCTTTAAAAATAGAGAATTTAAAAAAAATTTTTAGTTTACTAATTTTTCCTAGAACCAGCTTTGATTTTAATTTGTGGCACACAACATAACACATCACAGTAATTTTTTTTGTTTTGCTCCCTTAATGATTAAAAGTGGCTAACAACTTCTTTAACGGTTGGAAGTGCAATGGTATACACTTGAATGTGATAAGCCTATTTCTTTCTCTGCAGATATTTCTTTACTCCAGATAGTTTTTGTATTATTATCTCAGCCTTGAGTGCGAATTTTTTGCCTCTTCATATTTCTTTCATCATTATTTCTTAGGTCTATATATGTCCACACATAAATAATACTACAAATGCTTAAAGAGCATATTTTCAACATACCAGACGTTTTGCTAGGAGCTAGCAAAATAAATGATGTAGATATAGGAGCTATCAAAGACTGATGTAAAACCTACCACCATAAGACTGCTCTCTATGGCCTTAACAGTGAAAATATCTATTTAATAAGTGTGTTTCTTTCCAGGCTAAACCTGCATTACATTCAAAGTTTCTATGGAAGTGTGAAAATAAGTATTTTGTACACTTCATTCTACTCATATGCAAGCATACTTAACAAAATGATGACAATGCTTACTTACTCGTCCACCTTCAGGTCCTGGATTACCTTCTGGTCCAGCTAAACCCTAGTGTGAATAAAAGGCATCATCATCATCCTACAGTACTTTTTAAAGAGCTGTAGATAAATAGATTAATAAAAAGGGCATAGAAAATGTATCATTTCACAAGTATAAACTTCAGAACTCTGTATACTTAATGAAGACTATATCTATTCAAGGAATTTTAGAATTTCAGAACCAAAAGAAGCACTGTATATAATCTATACACGAATATATTTTAGATATCTAAATAAAGTAGATTAACACATTGTCAGTAACAAAAATTATTTTTTACGTTATTTCTTATTGGAAAACTGTGTTCTTTTAAAACACTTCTAATTAACTTATCTAAAATACATTTTAGATATATAAAAAGTATATAAAAAATATAAAAAGATATTTTATATAAATGTAGTTTTCCAGTATGCTAAATGAATAATTAATTTCAAGAGTAAGTAATCAATTCATGAAAGCCTAAGAAAGAAAATTTGTTCTCTTATTAATCTACATGAAGTAGCTAGAGAAAGTTAGAAATTAGAGGGAAATAAATATGAAATGATTAGAATGAATTTTCACAACAGTATATAAAGACTTGAATCCAGTTCACATAAAAGTATTCAGATAGTGGTATGTGTAGCGTTGCCAACTGTGTCCCAAGTGTTTATAGTTGTATTATTAAAAAATGTTGCTTATCATATAGAGCCTTAACTCATACCATTACTTCGTTTTAGTCAGTGGCAGTACTGTAAAATCAGTAGCAGGGCTGTTTTAACATTTTATTAGCACACTGGGCATTTTAACTTAGAAGGTTCCATTGTATATTACTCACATCAAACCTGTTTAAAAATCCTACTCTCATTTTAAGCAAAATTTCCTGCAGTAAAATTTTTGAAGGATTTTTACAATTTTGATGTTAGGATTTTTGGAATTATTTTGTTATGAGTAATTCATTATTTAATAAAAGTAAACCAATTATCATTTGAACATTAACTCTTGAAATCAGAACATACAATGTATTAACCAAGAGGCACATAAAAACAGAAGTTTAAATATAGTTACCTCACCTGCCTGCCAGGGTAACCACGTGAACCAATATTACCAGTGAATCCTGGAATCCCCTAAAATGAAAAATAATAAAACAGTACAACAAAGTCAAAAGAAACCCAAGGAAACAAAATTGGTGCATTCATAATACCCAAGTTTGGAAAGAATATTTTTTCCATATAAAAATACTAAGGGTCCTGCACATTGCTTATCTGACTGAAGTCATCTATTTAAAATGAAAATGAGATAAAATGGCTAAATAAAAATAAACACATTACATTAGGGACCTAAATGAGACATTGACTATTAGTAATGATAAATCTAGGGTGGAAAAATCCAGTGATACATAACCTTTAAAACACATATTAGAGAAAGAGTTGGTACGTTTCATAATAACCAGTATCTTCATGGATTTAACTCCTTCTTGTCTCAGTCATCCTGCAACTCTCCTTAACTATTGGAGCATGAGCTCCAGAAGATAAGCAAATGGATATTAAGTGGTAAATATCTGTATCATGACATAGGTCTATCTAAATAGTCACATAGCAACTTTGGATGGGAAATTCATTTTGCACTGACAACTTTGTATGCCTGATTTAAAACAAGGATTGCTCAAGGAAGGCTGATATGTCGAGTCTCAAGGGCATAAGAAAGGAAACTTGCTGCAGAACTGTGTGGAAAAGTGAGAAGAAATACCTCCACTCGCTGTTACTTTCTTCCATTGATATATGATTCATTCATTCATTCATTCAGTTTATTCAAAGTTTAGGTCTGTTAAATTTTGTCAACCAAGGAAATACCAGAAGAATATGTGTTGAGCTGTCTTTACTTAACCAAAAATGGTGACAGCAGTGATAAATTTCATAGATTCTTTATTATGTAAAATTCATTTCCGGTTTGTTGTTTGGAAAAGAGATAATAAAAGACACTAGCTCTTTTGCCCCTCTGATCTGAAGTATACAGAAGAGTGTTACCTCCGGTTTAACAATAGAAATACGTTGAAATTCCTAAAATTTGGAAAATCTAGAGAAAAAACAGACCAAGAAAAAGGCAAATGGAGCATCACAGTGGAAAGTTTTTACCCTCCCATTCCACTAGACTTGTAGGCTCCTAATTTGTCCTTCTCTCCACTTTTCTCAGAATCCATCTCTCAGTTTTGTTTTCTCTCATTTCTCCCTGTTGTCTCCCACTTCCTTCCCTTGCTCCAACAATTATCATTTACTTAGCACTTTTTTTTTTTTTTTTTTCGGTACGCGGGCCTCTCACCGTTGTGGCCTCTCCCGTCGCGGAGCACCGGCTCCGGACTCGCAGGCTCAGCGGCCATGGCTCACGGGCCCAGCCGCTCCGTGGCATGTGGGATCCTCCCGGATTGGGGCACGAACCCGTGTCCCCTGCATCGGCAGGCGGACTCCCAACCACTGCGCCACCAGGGAAGCCCTACTTAGCACTTTTTTATGTGTCAATCCTACGCCACTACTTTACGTCTACTTTACATCTATGAGATAGATACTATTTTCTCCATTTTACATTTGAAGAAACTAAGATACAGAGAAGTTATGAAACCTGCCCAAGATGGCACAGTGAGTAAGTAGCAGAGCCTAGATGTGAACTCAGACAATCTGACAAAAGTTGTCACGTGTGTGTATGCACAAACACACATATATATACATGTGCACACATACATACATATATACATATACATACAGACACCTATACATATATATGGCAATGAACAACTTAACAGAATGTGAATAAACAGTTGTCTTCTGAGAAGTAACAAAAAATTTTCATCTACACGTAGAGAGATTATATCCTATAAATTTCAGAAACCATATTTATGTACTAGATATTACCTTATTAATATTATATATAATACATATTTTATTCCTATAACAGCATTTATTGAGCACCTATCATGTGCCAAAATTCAAGAATTTTATATGTATTATCTTATTTAATCTGCTCAAACCCTATAAGGTAGATACCATTATCCCTATTTTACAGATGCGAAAAGTAAGACATGAAGTGTTTGTCACCAGTGGGAAGTCACTCAGCTAGTAAGTAGAAAGCCAGAATTTAAATCAGCAAGTCTAACTCCAGAGACCACCATTCAAGGCTGCCTCCCTAGTATAGGTTTGAAGGGCAAATAACTTAAAGTAGTACTCTAGGGAAAGCCCTCTAATTATGAGACTTGCTTCAGTCTATTTACAACTGCTTCCTTTATTCCCCATCCATTTCTAAAACACACAGGCCTATATCCAGACATCCACAAAACTTTATACTTGGTTATGCCAATAGAAAAGACTGAAATAAATGTAACAGGCTGTTTTCATTCTGTAGGTTCTGGCTAATGCCAATCACCATCCCTTTCATTAGTTTCCTAGCCAACTTAGGTTAACTGACCTCAACTAAAAAGCAATCTGTTATAAGACATAAATGAAATCTGATTTTGAACGGATTTTCATAGAGGGTGTTAAGATAACATGTAGAGATATAACACATTCCAGCTGCACAGAGAAATACACAAGAGGACACCACTGGATGATTAAATCCTGCTCTACTGGAATAACAGTAAACAAAGTCAACGAGTAAGCTTTCAGCAGTCTTATGTGGCACAAACATATTCTAAGCCAACCACACCCTAAAATCACTTGGACAACCAGAGCAGCTCCAAAGAAACTCAAAACAAAGCACTATACCTCAATTCACTCTGCATTTAAAAAATGGCTCACTTAAATCTGTAGATCGAATGGAGGAATTCAGACACAAAGTTATATCTCTACCCCTGGAAAAATCAGGAATAGTAAACCTGCCCCAATCCCACTTCTCACTCTGAGAATTAAAGCACACGCTCTGAGTCAGTCAGACTTCACTGAGAGTCCCAGCACTGCCAGCATGGGTCCTCCCTATCTCTTAGTTTTTTTTCATTAGTAAAATACAATAATAATATCTAGGTCACAGGATTATTGCGTAGAGAAAAGAGAACAATGTGTAAAAATATATTTAAAAGCAGGGGTAACTGCAATAATTCTTAGTGTTGTGGAGTATTAAATGAGTTAACATATGGAAATATTAAATAAATAATTATACTACTTGAACTTCCAGTTAACAGTAGTACAGTTTGGCAACTAATAAAGACTCCGTAATGAAAGCTCCTATTACTAGAGCTTGCCCAGATGATATAATTACTTTCCTAAGTCTTTGCTGGCCAGTTTATAGATATCTACAAATTTTCCAGAAGGGAATGTCTCCTAGCTAATTAGTTACATTCCTCTTAATGTCCACAGTGTTTCCACAGTGAAAATGCAAAATGATTTTAGTTGTTCCTCACAGTTATCACCAATTTTGTCTTTTTACTTCTGGAAATAAATAAAATAGAAAGAACTGATTCCAATAATACATTTTCCAACCTTTAAAACTGATTTCAGACTCTTCTCAAAAGCATACCACCCTCAGAACAATGACACGTATACTAACAGAACTAGGTTATAGAACAGTTGCGAGTAAACTGGTCAGTACTGACAAATGGCCAATTTTTCACTTACTTGTGATGTGTCAGGTTTTCTTCATTGAAATCTACACAGAATTTCTGCCAAAGCAGTATTCTAGGGATTTTCTTTTCCTCCCCAGGAACTAATCCCTCCTGCCCTTCTGATTTTTTTTTCCCATAAATGCTCAAATGCTTTTCAGCACTCGTATGATCTTCAGGAAACTGAGATTTTACTTGCTACAGATACATATATTGCTTGCCATGTCTAGTAATTAGCAATCTTGAAAAATTGTGCCTCAGGGACTGAATAGCGTGTATTGTCCCTCTTACATGAATAAAAGGGAAAACTGGCTTTATTTCTTCATTTATCTTTCCCTCAGGGATAATCCATCACTTTTCTTTCTGGAGCTCCCTTTAGGGTTTCCTGAGGCTCTTTGCTAAATCTCCAATAATGATTTGTCACCTTAGTTAGTATCTAATCTCCTACCCTTTTCACTGATTTATTCATACTGGCCTAGTATATATTCTATTGAAAACAAGAGATATGACTTTATTTCTTCCTATGACATAATGATACATTATTTTATGGTGGGAGAGAGAAGGAATAACATGATCAAAAACTAAATAGTTCCCAAACTATTTTGACTTTTACATATACGTGTATGTGTAGAATGGACAACAAACAGCAGGTGTGCCATTCTAATTTGGATTGTTATCAAAATTTATTTGCATTCCTTCATGCAATGGTAGGGAACTAACAGCTGTGGATAGACTTTGGGAAACAGGAAAGCCCCTGAAACGTACAAAAAAATCAGTGCATATATGTGTGTGCATATGAGTGTGTGTGCATGCATGGATAATCCGCGGACAGAATACACAGCATTTATGAGATTCTCACAGTGGTTTATGAACAACGGAAGTTTAAGAATGCTGGAGCATGTTAGGCAGACAGTGAAAGTCAGTCTAAGATATGAAAAAAACCCACAAGATTTAATAATAAATTAGAAGTTTTTCCTGTACTAAACAGAGTAAAAAGCATTAAGAAAAATTGAAAGAGTTACACGGGGGAAAATAATCTCTCAATGGAGTTCCCTACCGTATGTCTTTTTCACTGGAGAAGATGCAAGTCTTATAAAGGAAGAATACTTACTTGTTCACCTCGGAGTCCTGGGAGCCCTGGATGTCCTTTGAGACCCTGCAAGGGTAAAGGTGAAGACATACTATGAAAAGTAACCCCATTTGAGCCAAATAACTAACCACAGTTGTCTTTCATCCCAACTTTTGGTTTTCCCATTAATACAAATGTAATTCCTACTAATCTATTTCTTAAGTGTAATCTTTTAAATTTAATAAAAATTTAATTTTTATTAAATAATAAATTCGCATTAGTAATTCTTAATTAATTTGGAGTGTAATTTGAATGATTTGTTATCAACTAAAATGGTTACATAGTACTGAATTTTAAAAAACAGGATCTTTTATAAAAGGCTGGCATCTAGCAATGGATCTGCTAAATTTTGCTTAAGCTTTTTAAAAGTTGGTTTTAGTTCATTAATGCTGAAACAGAATGCCCTCAGGCATAATCTGTTTGTAATTATTGAAAAACTGGCAGTTTCAGGCAGTTTCTCTAATCTAAAACATTGTCATAACATTCTATGAATGAGCTAATAAAAAGAGGCTGCTCACAGGTCCATCTGTCTAAGAAATCAGTAACAAATGTTTTATATCAATCATACCTCAATTAAAAAACAGAAATTAGTAACAAAAAATTTTCCAAATAAGAACCAAAATCAAATCTTAATTTCTATCACTAACACCCAAAGATATAAAAGAGATAATAACTTTTATCCTCTAGAAAGATATTCTATGAGCGAAAGAAAGGAAGCTAAAAGAAAGGAAAGGAAGAAAGAAATAAAGGACACTTTGGAGCATATTTGTACAGCTCTAATCAACAATCAGTAAATCAACCTGCTGTTTACTAGATTTTGGTGTATATAAAAGAACAAGAAAAAGTTCCTTTTTAAAAGAACCTTTTAGGATTTTAAGCAAACCTCAAAAACCTGAAATAAATTATAGTTAGTTTACAAATATCAGAAACTTCAAATTAATGTACTGCAAACTGAAGATAAGTTTTTGGGGTTTTAAGATATAGAGTAACAGAGTGAAAAGAGTCACTCAGGATTACACCCTATCACGGAGGGTTTATGAACTTGGATTAATGAATTAGAGAAGGAAATGATACTCTGGGACAATGGGGAAATTAGAAGAGGTACCTATTTGAAAAATAAGGAAATGATTTAAGCAGGTTTTGAGGTGATAAACTTAAAACAAAAGTAAATGTTTAAGTAGAGAGGTCTCTTGGGAACCAGAGAGAAGACCAGAAATGTAAGAAGGAAAGTTGGAGACAAAAATTTTTGTGTTATCTGTATATGTAAGCATATTTGTAACAAGGGAATAACAGAAGAAAAAGCAAGAGGGCAGAGGAAATGCCCTGTCCTCTGCGAGCTCTGTTCTTTCATGATTAGGCTATTAGAGATCAGAGACGTGGCCATGAGAAAGGAGGGGGAAAAAGGAACGAAGGCACAAAGCAGTTTCACTGAGCCACTATGTACCAGACATTGCACCAGCCACTTCCAAATACCTCACCTAATTCTATGGCAATCCTGTGAAGTAGGTATCTTCCTCATTTTTACAGGTGAGAACACTGAGCTCCGAGAAATTAAATGATATGACCAAAGTCATGTAGGTAGTAAGGTGGAATCATGTCAGTTTGACAGTTAGATTTATCAAGAATTGAGTAAGCTGCCCTTCTATTTACTTAATATGCCTATATTTGTCTCAGACTCAAATGCAGGCTGTCCTCATTCTCATCAAATGTTCAAACACTAATTTTAGACACAACCACGACAAACCAACAAAAGGAATTATAGATCATGAATCATGGCATTATTAAAGTTACACATTTACCACTTGCATCTCATATACCCACAATTTCACTGAGTTTATATATTTTTTAAGATAGCTAAAGACCAGCCTAATTACAAAATAGAAGACGTACATTGTTCTCAGTTGTCCAAATGTTACACAAGATTCTCCAAATAAAATATCCACAAAGCTAAGTTTTTTCACTTTTAATAACGGGAAATAAGAAATGTCCTCAGCACTAAGATAGTGGTGGTGGCTCCCTCGGATGAGGCAGCAGCTCTAGAAGGATGGAGTTCCTAAGAGAGTGTCAGGAAGATGAGAAATGAGGAACCAGGGCGAGAGGTACACAGGTAGAGAAACTCTCCGCCATGGGCCTAGTTCCTTTTCTTTTTTATTAAAAACTGTGCTTATAGGGGCTTCCCTGGTGGCGCAGTGGTTGGGAGTCCGTCTGCCGATGCAGGGGGCGCGGGTTCGTGCCCCGGTCCGGGAGGATCCCGCGTGCCCCGGTCTGGAAGGATCCCACGTGCCGCGGAGCGGCTGGGCCCGTGAGCTGTGGCCGCTGGGCCTGCGCGTCCGGAGCCAGTGCTCCGCAGCGGGAGAGGCCGCAGCAGTGAGGGGCCCGCGTACCAGAAACAAACAAACAAACAAACAAACAAAAAACAACTGTGCTTATATATTTACTTACTTGTTTTTATGTCTGTGTACTGCTGAGTCTAGCTAGCTACATGCTTCCCTTTCTTTGGCCACTATCTGTTTCTCTGACCAGAGTTTCTTCCCTCCCCAGCCCTGGTGAAACAGAATGCAGTGGTGCTACAACTTCTTTAGCTTACTTTCCCTGAAGCAGTTTATAACAGTGAACTAGACATGTTGATCATAATATCCTCTGAATGTACAACTCCCTCTGGAGAGATTCTTCCTCATCCACAGACTCTAATACAAAGGCAGCACCAAATAGTCATGAGCTCCCTCCTACTCCACCTCAGCCCCAGGAGATGGCATTCAACCTAAGGGAAGCCAATATGAAGTCCGGCCAGTAGCCTATGAGGCCACTTGGAATGGAGAGTTTTGCCTAAACAGGGTGAAGCTGGGCCAATCAAATTCTTTTTTAAATTAAGTTCAACAGGAAGGAAGGAAGGAAGGAAAGGAAGGAGGGAGGGAGGATTGATTCAGGTACTTAGCTGAAGCTAGAAAGACTGACAAAGAAAGGATAAGAGGAAGAGAAGAAAGCCAAAGTATGAGTAAAAAATTTAGAGTAAGCAGAAACTGTGCTGAGAAAGAAAGTTTTTGTCAGAGGAAAAGTCAGATAACACAAAAGGGCAGATGCAGAGAGAGGAGATGAGTAGCAGTGCTAATAGAAAAGTACAGTAAAAGATCCACAAGCTAATGTTGCTAGATACTCAGAGCTGCTTTGAATCAGTGCCCGCCCCCGTGAGGCTAAGTCATATTACAGTACCATTTTTAGATTCCATGGGTCCCTGATTTCCCTTAATGCTGTAGAGAGGATTGAAATAATTCTCTCTTCCTTGGGATAGCCTAAGTCTCCATTCTTTGCCATCAAAAGAGCTGAAGTGAAACAAAATGGTTTTGGTTTGGTTTGGTTTACTACTAATAATAATGAAAAGACCAAGCACACTGAGCTCTAGATCCAGTTTTGCCACTAAATAGCTATATCATGAGTTTCAAAGTCTTCATCTGTAAAATGACAGCAATGAATTAAACTACTGCTAAATCTCCTTTTAATTGCCAGCATTCTGCAATTAGTTGAATCTGTTAAAGTCACTACTTTTTTTTTCACCTTTCATTGAATGAAAAACAAAGGCATTTATAAGAGTCAATTCAGGCTTTGAGGCATTGGAAGAATTCAAGTAACACTGATGTATCACTGAGGTACGTATCAGAAAAAAACAGATTCAGGTTCCCATGGGCATATGACCTGAAACAAAGATGGGGACTCTGGGATGAGCAGAATGGAAAGAGAATGGGTCAGGTAGGAGGCTATTATGAGAGTCTAGGAGAAACATGATTATACATTAGGTTTGAGGGCAGAGTTAGAGATGATATATATGCCCCTTAAAGAGTTTAAACTTAAGCTCCTGAACTATTTTATTCAATGTGGTATCCCCAGTGTCTAGAATATAGTAAGTGCTTGTTAATTAATTGATGGAAAGATTTGGATGAATAAATGAATTGATGTAAAGACTTAGAGGAATCTGAGGGTTACTTGGGGGAAAATAGATTCTAAGTATTCAATATGATATCTCCATTCTCTTAATATTGAAATGAAAGGTAATAAGTGGGAGAAAAAATATCTTGTTATTTTTCAATGTAATAATATGTTACTGTAATATACTGGAGTTAGCACCACTATTGTATAAAAGCCTCCATTTATTCCCTAATTTGTGACTACAGGTCTCATTTGTTTTCTACTTAAATACTAGTCTGTAATATTTTAAAAAACAAAGGGAATAAGTTCCTGGGAAGAATGCCTACATTCAAGCTTTGGCATAGCTCCAATCTAAGGACGTGACACTTTATTTTTAATTTTTTTTTAAATTTTTTGGCCACACCGCGCAGCATGTGTAATCTTAGTTCCCCAACCAGGGATCAAACCCACGCTCCCTGAATTGGAAGCACGGAGTCTTAACCACTGGGCCACCAGGGAAATCTCCCTGACACTTTACTTTTAAAAATTTGTTTATATTGTAGTCTTTTGAAAATACTATTTGAGTCATTGTTCTTCCTATACTCACATAGGAAAAATAACAAAAAAGGCCAAGTAACTAACAATGCATGATTTTCCTCTGATAAATATACTGAAACTGATGTAAACACATTTCTTAAGGAATGCCAATAGAAAAATGTACAAGTTCTGTTTTAGAACAGATTAAAAACTCATTATAATGAGTTATAGGGTTGTTTCAATTTTTGTTGTGATATAAATTTGCCTTGCCAAGAATTCCAGTAATAAAAAGGGTTTAGAATCTAATTTTAATATAGAGATATTAATTTTAATACTTATTTTAACAACAATTTAAACCCTAACAAATACGTTATCAACAGGTGACCACACAGGACCAAAAAAAAAAGAGATACAATTGAATCAAAATCAGAAATATTAAGGGATGGAAAAGAAACAAACTTCAAATATATACCTGAACTACCCCCAAGTAATTAAAATTTGGATACATAAATGTTTATCCATAAGGAAAACAGTGGTACCATTTACATATAGGGCCATCCTTGCTTTGCACGGTACTAGAGGACCATGAA